GAGGATAAAGAAATTTGGGTGCCAATATATGTTTAGTATTTATTTGATAATAGTGTATAATATTCCTGAAAAATTTCTTGATTTATTTGAGGTTAAATAAGGTGATAATGATTTGTTATTGGGCCTGAATAAAACTCAAAATGGATCTTGTCAATGGGTCTTCAATTTAATAAGAAGGCTTATTAGATATACTTTGGGCTAAGTACTAAAGGATTAAGGATTGCTTTTAATCAGGTAAACGGATCAACCTGTTACACCATATGGATCTGAAGTATACGGATGGTCAGGTAATTGGGTAGATGGATATGTCTGTCATACCAGCATGGATCTGAAATTCAGGCGAAAGGAACTGGTCCGTTTGTTTCGTATGCGGCCCGTTTGAGGTCTATATCTAGTTAGATCAGATGATGCATTCATTCTTGATTATTTACTAGTTGTATAACATAGATGATTATTTACTAGTTGAGAGAAAGAGAGAGAGAGAGAGAGAGGGAGAAAGAAAAGAGGGACGAGAAGGAAGAGAAGAGATTCATCCATGCCATGCCGTGCGATCGAGCACGACAATGAAGAGGAGAAATGGAAGGGAGATCCATGCAGCTGCTCCATGCCGTCCCAGTAAATGAAGATATTCGTCTTCCCACCCTAATTTAGCCAACATCAGTTTCACTGCGAGCGAAAGAAGGACGGGAAGGATCAAAGTGACCAACATTTCGTGCTTGACTCATCGGAGAAAGGCTACCATCTCTTGTTCAGGTCAGCAGTGGATAGAATCACTTCATCGTGCAACAACCGACCTGCACGACACTGCAAGAGGAACAGAAAAAAGAGCGTTTGATTCGTCACTGTGTTGCATTCCTTCCATGTCTGGTTTAACCCAGCAAAGAAAAAAAGGAACGCCTTGTTATCAAGCGTCAGCACAAATTGATCAATGCCCGCTTCTCAAGCTTGAATTAGCAAAAGTTGAGTAAACATCTTCTGATTGGGCCAGCTAAAGGTAATTGGATCAATCTATGATGCTGTGGCAATGTAAATTTATCCGGCAAACAGAACATCAAGACTGCATCAAATCGACCAAAGCCTTTACCTGCCATCGAGCCCTCAAAAGAATCATCTTCATTGGGTAAACACATTCCATCTTATTTCTATTAAACTCTGAATTTTTTTTTTTGTTTAGAACCTAAAATCTTAGAAGAGGGAAGTGAGTACCTTCTCTATTTTGGGGGACCTAGAGCCTTGGTAGCTTAGAGCGAGATTTTGAGGGAATCTCGAATTAGCCTGAGGTGTTACATCTAGTAGGCTGCTGAGCCTAGAATCCTGCTTGTAAACTACTATGGAAATAGTGGTATCCAAAGATGAAGTCCTTGAAGAGTGGATGTGGGTCAAGAAGACTGAACCACTATATATTTATTTTTTGATCTTGTTGGTATTTATAACTTGAAATGCAATTATCTAGATATTCAAAATTTGATACATTCAACTAACTCCCCCTCTTGATATCATGCAGCCACTCAGAGGGCATCAATTTGTTAATGAAAACATTTGAATGTGTTGTTTCTTCTTATTTTTGTCGGCTTTGACCAATATCTAAATTAAATTAGCTCACTTTCTAGTAAACTTGATATTTGATTGGAGTGTGAGAAGACCAATTTACTCCCCCTCTTAATTCTTCTTTTATCCTTACAGGCCTATACTAAAAAAATTATAACTTTACAACCTACAACCTTTTAACAAAAAATTCACTTGTAAATCTAACAAAAAACTTATTCATAAGTAAAAGTTTAGATAATACACTGTGTGAATAATCAAAGACTCAAAAGTTGGTTAGAAATGTTTCGTATGAGAGTATAAATTTCTAGCAATTAAAGATAAATGAATTATTGAATTACTCTATTAATTTTTGTTCTTGAACTTCTACTTTACCTTCAGATGTGATACTTATGCCTTGTAGGTCACTATGAGTTGTTTGAATTTGTTGTCCACTGGTGTTTGTCACAACTTCAATGGTCAACACTTTGTTTACAACTCAATGTTTTTCACATCAGAATTAGTACTTTTAGTCAAAAAGGTAATAGCAGAGGTTTGGTTCAAATTCAGCACAGAATACTATTTTATTACTTTAACCAACAACTTTATGACATGGATTCATATTGCCAAGCTTTAAAGTAATGCTAAAGGTCAATGCACACTAATATAGAAAATTGAAGTTTTGCTTTTATTGAAGCATGTATGGCTTTATGAATCTTTGATAAAGGTTGAATACAGTACATGCTTTGACTGCAATCAAAGACTAGAAAGAAAAATAAGTTGATGTTTAAGAACATAGGATGTACTAGTATTTCCGTTTCTTTCCTGGATTTTAATACCGCAGTGGTCTATTTATAATGCAAAATATGGGTTTCATCATGGCTTATGAAAAACTGTCCTCTGAAAATCTCCTTTTCTCCTACTTCTGGTGAGAGGAAGACAAGAAATCCCTTGTGTGATGCTAGACTTTTATTTACCATACACAAGATGAATAATAACAAGATAAAAAGTAAGTAAGGTGATTTTGAACTATATGACGTTGGGAGGCTCTATGACAAAGCGGGCCATGGTCTGCGTTTATCAACCAGGTGGAAAGGTCTTCATGGCGTCAAGAGGAGAAAGGTCTACATGACTTCCAGCAGAAAGAAAAGACAGAGGAGAGACAGACATCATTGGAGGGGTGGCAGTTCGGAATAAGAATATAATAAAGAGGTAAACCAGGCGGAAGAAGGGAGAGAACTGAAATGAGATCCCACACGTGCGTTCAGGATGTATTATTGCTCAATGGGAAATTGTAAGGGTACGAGAAAGATTGGAGGCGTTTTGTAGTGTATTCTTGTTGTGGGACTTGCAGGTGAGGAATGGTAACGGGCTATTCCATGCCTCCCACATCTTACCCTCTTTGCACGTCCGCCAAAATAGGCTAGGAGGGGGTAAGGACCCCTAGGTCCGTCCGCATGGTCCCTCACTACTTGATCTAGAAGAAGACAAGAATGTAGTAATCAGAGGAATCGATAGCATTCGAGCGAGAGAGAGAGAGAGAGAGAGAGCGTGTGTAATAAACTGCAGGCTTACGTGTATATCCGTGTCCTCAAGCAGTCCATCGCTAAATTAGTTAAGCACCTTATTATTAAATTATCTGGCAGAGGAAAAGTTATCCTCGTCACATAATGAGGTTCAACACACAACATATTTGCTCCTGAGTTAAGCTTGAACGAACAATCAGATACCCTGTAGGCCGTTAGCATTGTGGGAGCATCAACGTGCTAGGTATTCTCCGTGGGATAGCTTCTGCAACATTGAGGCGGTAGGCCGGAGCAATTTTCTGGCAGACTTGAAGAATGGCTAAATATTTTTTTTATAAAAAAGATGAAGCTTGAAAACCACTTCAGCTGACCACTCATGATGATTGGGTTTCCGTGAGGTCTAAATGCCGTTGGAGTGGAACTTCCATTCTCATTAATTGTTGACTTGGATGTCACGTATGTAGACTCCAAATGTGCACCTCCAAAAGGAATCTCTAAAGAACTCAGAAAGAGTCCTGAAGAGCTTATAAATGATCGATTCAAGATCTCTTATTGAGATATATAATGAAAGTTGAAAATTATTGACCTCAATTGTTTTATTAGCTCATTAATATCTTGTGAATCAATTATTAGGCCATCTACAGATTCCAAACCACTGAAAATGTATGGACCATTGAAGACCAAAAGCATCTTAGTAGCAGTTTGATAACTGTTTATAACTTGATTTGGCTGGATTACCTTAGCGAGTCATGTGAAGATTCAGTAATGATAAATTTGGAAAAAGTTGTTCAAGATATTCGATCAAAAAGGTTGAATGGTAGAAATTCAGCAGATTATTAACCTCAGTTCAGTTGGTTAACTGAAAACTAGGTTAATCTAGGTTAATCTATGAAATAAATAAGAGTTTTCTCGTAATCAAACTAAAAATCAGATAGATTAGAATCCGAAACCGAGTGTAAATTAACTGTCCCAGTTAATCATTACTGATCATTACTGGGACTGATTGATAAAAATCCGGCGGCCCATTCGTTAACCTTCCGCACGGGGGGAGCCTTTTTCTGACTCCGCTTTAAACACCGGTGCTTTTCTGTAAACTCGTCATCACCGATTACCACCTCTGTCTTCACTCTCTCCAATCTGAGGTCTCTTTTCTAGCTATTCAGGAAAGTGAGCGAATACCGCCACCTGCTCAAAACGCTGAGAGTAGGCAGAATGGGGTCCCGGGGGACCAGGGCGCGCCGCTGTTTCTGAACGCTGAAATAGTCAGGCAACAAAAAAGGTGGGGTTTTGAAGGAATCAGTTCGATCCCCTCCCGGTCATCAGACCAATGGAACTGGGGCTCGGCGAGGACGGCTGGCCCGCCCGCGCAGGACAAAGAACTGCGGTGTCAGATGTGGGGAATGCTGCCCAGCAGATGGCCCCGGCAGCCATGCTTGGCACCTGGCTGGCGATAGGAATCTGGACGGTCTCGCAAAGCGCGATGAACGGTGCCTGCCCAGGAGGGCAGGCTCGACTTACTTGACGGGAGAAGACGGACATCCTCACAATGAGATAGATAGAGAGGCTGATTGATGACGAAGAAAAACAAACAGGAGGCGTAGTCACCTTCCTCCGTCATCCGTCCACCTCCACCGAAGACGACATCAGTAACAGCAACAAAAACTCCTACCACCAGAGCCCACCGCAACAGCTGTGCTCCCACCCACTGATTATTCACCTCCACCACCACAGCATCAACCGGTCACACCAGGGAATAGAGGGAAAGCTTGAGAATAGACCGGTCCGTGGGAGCAAGGGTGAGAGTCCACTGCGCGCCAGACGTCGGATAAGCGAAGTTGTAAGGATGGAATTGTAGACCAGATGCTGACCAATCCCCCATTCCAACTCCTGCCCCATTTGGGTCTGTCTCCTTGCCCCACAAGCAACTCAGTCGAGGGCCTACCACTGCTTTCACAGCCGCAGCGAAAGATCCAGTTCGAGGGAATCGTCGCTAGTGGAGGACGAGGAGGCAGTCGACTGCCTCATCGTTTGTAAGCCTTTGGCGCTCGCCGAAGACGGCAGGAAGCTATCAGCAGACCGCGGGTGCTGGAGCGAGGCCCTGTGCCAGTTCAGGTAATTAATGAAGTCCGCCATAGCAATACCGTACTGGGCGTCGTCCGCTAGGCTAGTTGCAACACAGAAGCCGTCGGTGTCGAACTGGGCAGCGAGGCCGTAGGAGTCGAAACCCATTGCGATACTGGTATACAGGGACGCCGGAGTGATGTTGGGCGAGCGGGGCCTGCTCCCGTGAGCAGCAATGGGGAACGGCGAGGAGCTCGGAAGGCAGTGAGTCGGAGCGCCGGGGGACCTGGTGGTAGTGTGGGGACGAGGGATCGGCGCTACGCCTCTCTCCTTCTTGTGGGCATTCTGGTGGCCGCCGAGAGCTTGAGACTTGAGGAACTTCTTGTCGCAGAAGAGGCAGGGGAAGAGCCTGATGTCTCTCCCTCCCCGGTGGGATGGCGCCGATGCCGATGCCGACGCCGGCTCCGACGCCGATGAAGTCAAGGACAGAGATAGGTCCAGCGACGGCGGCTGCGTTGGCAGGTCCTGACCGGCGGAGGAAGATCTGGACGGCACTGGGAGTTCCATCAAGGACATTATTGGGGAAGGAGAGCGAAGCCCGTCTACAGATGGCACGGAGGTAGGAAATAAGGCAGTATAATGGCACATCATCCATCGTTCAAAGTGGGTACGGCGGGCTTTATAAACGGTGGACGTCGCCGGGCACGGCGACCCTTCGCAAAGAGGAAGGGGCTGAGGGAAGCGGACATAAAAGAAGGAGAGGGACCGCGGACCCCAGGTTCAGGCGTACGGAGCAGACTCCCCCCCCACTTCCTCCCTACCCCGCTCCAGACGAAGCAGGGGGAAACTGAAACCAAATCCAGCAGGGGATCCCTCTGTACACGCACGGACGGACCTTGGTAATGGAATAACCCACAGCGTCGCCCTCCTTTTTCACCCCCTTCTCCGCCTGTCCGTCACCTCACACAGCAGAGCTCCTCGCACTGAGCTGGCCTCGGCGCCCCACGACGCAGTCCATCTACGTTGAAGCATCTCAGAGGAAGTTGTTACTCATTGGTCGCGCGATGTTGCAGCTTCTTCGACTCCCCATAAGAACCACGTCTCGGCCGGAGTAGGCCCACATTTCAAACAGGAGTCTGCAATAGCAAGAGAGACGAAATCCTTCTTAGGACGAGGCCATCCGTCCTCCCAGTCGTCAAAATTTGATGCTGGCATCAAAAACTGGGGGGGGGGGGGGCATTTTCAGGACAAATTATGTAAGGAAACGGGTTAATTTCCATTCTTTATTTAAGATGAAACGCCAATGGCGTGTTCCTGTATCCTGGTGATGAGGAAATGATGAAGCACCCCTTGGATGACTTTGCGGCAAGTGAAATATTTCAGGATTGATTATACCAAACTCTGAAGTATATGGCAATTTTCTCGAATATAGTAAATAGAAGGTTCACATAGCCTCGGCTTTCTTCTTTCCTGTTAAAAAGCTTACAGTAACATCACGGCCTAACGTCAGCCGCACCGACTGACCGACGAGTTTTCTTAAAGAACCCAAAACTGACGACTTTCTCGGGAAAAATCTTATCATATTCCATTCAATTGGAAGGAAAGTTGAGGCCTAAAGTAGATACATCAATAAAGCAGAAACTACAGCGAAGATGCGGCATCCGCGGTCATGCCAAGGTACTCAGCGACCCACTGTGTGAACGACAGTGAAACAGCCTCCAAACGGAACTAAACACCCGGATGACACGCATCCTGGAAACCCATGTGGCGATGCTCGTGCGGAGATCAACGCGGGGCGAACAGGCCAACCGGAATTACGCATGCAATCACAGAGGGTCAACATGATGGACATTCCAGTGATGAAACAAGATGGTCTACAGTGTGCGCAGGTCGTTTCTGATGAAGCCCTCCAACCACCATAGACCCGTTCTCACCACAACCGCCGACGACTTCACCCGAACGACCCTGGTACTCACCGGAAGCTCCGCAACATCAGGACGCATCAACTGCACGAACGCCACTTCTTCCACGACGCAGCAGGCTCCAACAAATCACCTTCTAGCATTATTTAAAGACAGGAGTAGTCGTGGAGTTGACCCGCTCTAAGGGTGCATGAGAGTCTGACCCGATCATTATCCTCTTCCATCCCTCTCCCTCACGTAGTCTCTTGCTAGGAGTCACCACAACTATTTCAGAGAAAGAATATGCCTCTACTAGATATATCTAGGACTGTCTAATGTGAAATTGATTTGCCAAAATATTTTTTAGTTGAACCCATAAATACATCATATTATATTATGCATGGCATTATGATTAACCAATACTTAAAAAACTCGTTATAGAATATTCAAAGAAAAGAAACCAAATGTTGGTTATTTTTTACCATTTGGATGCAAATAATTTGTTCTCACAAATGATGAAGAATTTTTTTTATCTTACATGTGATGAAAGAAAAATGTTAAGTTATTTTGTTAATTTAAGAGCCAATTTAGTTCACAACAAAAGAACTTTAGTGGTAGAAAAAATGATAAATGCTAAATTTCTGGAGGATAAAGAAAGAAGTTTCTATTGATGATTATGAAGAATTATCGAACACTAAATTTCTGGAAACTTCATTCAAGGACGATGTAATTCTTTTAAGTTAGAGGAAAATCTCATAAGAGAATAGAAATATATTAAGAGTCATCCAATTAATTAAATTTATTTATATTCAAAGAAAGAAGTCCAAAAAAGATCAAAATTAGAAATACATAAAATAGTAGTGTTGATTTCTAAATACAACAAAAAATGTGAAAGATTTTTTAAAGATTGAGAATTGGATTTCATTGATGATAGAAGAATTAATCATGTCTTTAAAAAGTAAGTTTCTGGAATTGGTTACCAAGAAAATTTAAATGTTTGTGATAGAAATAAAAATACTTGAATGAAGAAGGAAAAGTATTACGGATTAAGGCTGGACTGTGACTTGTTGCACAAGAATCTACTTATATTGAAGGATACTAAATGAACGATGAAATGTATGCACCAATGACAAAAAGACAATGTATTGTATCACATGGATCTCAAAAGTGCTTTTTAAAATAATTAAATTAAGGAAGAATCATACATAAGACATCCTCCTCAATTGAACATTTAGAATTTCCAAAACAAGTTCTATAATTGTTAAAAGCCAAATTTGAACTCAAAATAACTTTGAGAGCTTGGTATGAAAGACTGACATGTTTCATACTTAGAAATATTTCTTATAGCAAGAGCATTGGCACTACTATATTTATCAAAGAAAAAGAATAGCAAAAACATATTATTCAAATATAGGTGGATGATATACATTCTCAATCCAAAGAGAAATCTGACATTAAGATTATTCAGACATTATGAAGGATTAATTTCAAATTGAGCATGATTATAGAACGTACTCAAACACTTGAAAGATATCATTTTCATGCCTCAATTAAAATGTGCTAAGGATTTGTTGGAGAAACATAACTTCTTAGGAGGGAAGAAAAGGAAAACTCCAATGAACAACTAGCTCAAAATTGATCTTGGTAATAATGAAAACTAGTAGACTAGAAAATCATAGAAGAATGTTTGGATATTTATTATATCTAAGTATAAGTAAACTAGATATAATATTTGGCATATATTAATGTGTTAAGCTCTATAGTGATCTGAAAAAATCAAACTTAAATCTAATGAAAATAATTTTAGGTTTAATTTCCCATATTCATTGCCTTTTCCCCACAGCTGCTGTCACCACCTTAGTGCTAGGTCATCTTCTACTATTATTACCTTCAATGTCAGTTCATGACATGTGGGATGATTGTATGTGGCTTATTAAGTTGTCTTTCCCCACTATCTTAAAGTAGTGGTCAACTAGACAACCACAAACTCAAATTTCTATCAATTCGTTGGTTTTCATGGTTAAAAGTAAAAAATTATTGAAAACTTATTATACTTAAATTTGTATTAATGTCTTGTATTTAAAACTTAATATATTTCTAAATTATATTAATGCCCTTGGTGTTAATTTGTATGCTTAAGTTATTTGATGTAAATACAATATATTCAAAAAATGAATAGTATTATTTTCTCTTATTAAATGATTATGATTTCACCTCTAATAATTAAATTCAAGGTTTAAATCCTTGAGATTAGGCTATTTCTCTATTATAAGAATACTTTAGGATAAAAATTATAAATAGAAGAAAGATCTATGAACTAAAGGTTAAGTATATTGTCATATAGTGTAAGTCAACACACAATTCATGTGCAGACACATTTATGAAAATAAAACATTTCATTTGGATTATATATGTAATGACTTAACTATAGTCATGATATTTTGATTGTTTATTTTGTGTCCATGCTAGTATTTTTGGTTCAACTAACGATGTCTTTTTGTAATAAATGTTTTGATATCCTGAAGCAAAGATTTAAAATTAATCAACTATATAATGGGAGAGCTTACATTTTTTGTCAGCTTGAAAGTTAAGAAACTGCATGATTGGAGAACTTGCATTCATTTGTCGATCTATAAATTATATAATTCTGTAGTTATCTCTTTGTGTCTAATCAAAATGCACCCACAAATGATTGACATATTCATCCTAGCTAGAACGAAAGACAAAATCATTGTCTTGGATAGTAGTGAATAACTTGTTTTTCATAAAAACACAAGTCCAACATACATTGTATCAGATTCAACCCAATATTACTTCCCTAAATGGATTCATTGCTATTTGTTTCAAATGATAGATTGTAGAACTTAACTCCCAAAAAACTATTATTTTAAATTGATTAGATTTCTAATTTCATATTTTGATGTCAATACCACTTTAGACGTTCTTGCTTACTTCTGGTTGATGTCTTGCTTTATGAACTTCATTTGGGTAAGGTTCTTCAAGTTGTTTATACTAAAAACTGAGTATGGTGTACTGAGCTTACAATTTATATAGATTTTATTCATAAAATCCCAACTTGATTACAGTATTAAGCTTGATGTTTCATGTACAAAGTAGGCAGGTATGGAGCAGCAACGAACTCATGCTGGTTTGAGGCATAATTCATCACCCTTTGTGGCGGATAGGCTGGATTTTTTTCAAAGATGGATGTTTAGCAAGTTTTTTTTCTGGAAATGTAAGCTCTAAATGATACGTTTCACGAGGAGGGTAATGTCTACAGATGGGATGTTTCTTTCTCTACATCATTTGAGCAAAGATCGCATTAATTGTGTCATCACAAACAATGGAGGCCATCTTGTTGCTCTATCGGACATAGGCTGAGACATTTCATCCATCGAAGACAGATTATTTCAGGCGATCACATTTCTAAAGAGAGATTTTTCCTGCATGTAACGTTCTTCAAAACTTCTGCTCAGATTATACATCCATAGATGTTATCTTGCCAGAATTTTCTAAAAACTGTCTAATTATAGAATCTTCCTTTAAATGTTTTTGCCATTTTTCCAAGAAATGCCATATTATGGATTCGCATTCTTTCTCTCTACATTCTAGCCTCTCATCATTCAACTTAAAGGGGTACATAAAGCAGATGTACACTGAGAGAGA